AAAAAAGGCACAGCACACAGGAAGGTTCTTCAGGATGCTCTGTTCTCCTTACATTCCTGAAAGGGATTCCCAGGAGTCACTGCTAAAATCTCCACAGCCTGCAAGACCACACCTCTCGGGGGAGATCCCTCAATTAAAAGTGGCAACTTCTGAAAAACCAACAATAATCTTTAAACCCATTCTCATCTCGTACGGGTAGGTTTTTCAAGGCACACTCAAGTTACCCAAGTCCCACTAGCTTCCCCATAGAACTGTTCTCCAAATCTTGCTGGCACTTGTGAAAGTTCTACCTCAGGTATTGGAAGACCAGCTTTAAAGCACAGCTTAACCTCTTTCTGTACTCTTGATACAGGACACATTCAGGTTTGCTTTGTTCTTTTACTCCTCAGAGATGATAAAGAAGTGCCTAGTAAGAGAGCTTAAATATTGCAGCAGTTCTGCTGCTGTGTTTCCAATTATAAGAGTAATTTTATGCCTTGGCTAGATGTTGGGTAGAACGAAAGTCAGTATTTTAAACTTCCTGTAAGAGAACCAGTCTCTGCCAGGGTGGCTAACAATCCCTGACTCCTGTTATGACGGTCATTATTGCCGACTTTCCAGTTGAACAGAACAGCACAGGCTCTTGTATTATCACTGGTACACAGGGACTGAGAAACAGTAGTTTTCAGTACTACTGCCATCTACATCCTTACAGGTATAGGCACAGATAAAGGCTTCGTTTAATAAAAAATTCTGCTTAGAGCTGCGCTTGTTTAACTCTCTCTCACACTCTCCGTATGAAACCACAAATACTTTACATTTCACAAAAAACACAAATGCAACTCTGTGTGAAAGATGGGGTATGCTGGACAAATTATAAAGCTCTGTGGTGATAACATGGAACCTGGGACATTCCAGCAGGCTGTCGTGCAGCCCACCTCAGAAAGAAAAAGTGTCATGTCAGATTTTTCAATGCTGGAACATTTGTGAAAGCCAGAATGGTAAATTATCTATACACTTGACATTTCAGAGGCCTGATAATAAATATTTTCATGACTAAGTATGGGGTTTTGAGATAACAGTACTAGAATTCATATAAATTATTATAGCATGAGGTTGCCAAGCAAAGAAGCAATGGGCACTATCACAAACCCTGAAAAAGGACAGCGATTAAGTGTACTTGCTTTTTCTTCTGGCAATAGAAAAATAAAGCCTCTGTAACTTTTAGTTGTGCAATCCTCTGATGCCAAATCTAACTCTCAAAAATCCTTTCAATATGCAAAAGCTAACCTTTCCTCTCTCCGCTATTAAAGTGTATAAAAATACTACAACTCAGTGAGTGACTTCAGATGAAGAACACGCTCAGAACTTCAATGAGGACAAAACTATAGGTTTGCCATCTGTGCAAGCAAAATATTTGCTCAGTTGCTCCTAGAATGTCACAGTACTAAATACTGTAATTTATTTGAACTGCACATGTAAAAATGAGTTGAGAATTTTCCCTTTTACACTTACTTTGCCCATTTTATTTGCCTTTTTACAGATCCGACAACATTCTTTTGTCTGAAGATCCTGTTACTTCTCGGTGTGATTCTGGTTCCCATAACACTCATTATAAAAATGAAATACAGAGAAGTTCAGGTAAGTTCGCAGCTCATAAATTCAGCCTATATGCACTAATAAAAACCTCACAGTGCATTAAAAAAGATGCTCGGCCTTTAATCACTCTCACTTGTTAATAATACTTCTGTTAAATGACTAGATCACACCACAAATTCATTTAATAAAAATAAAAAGACTGTTTGCTATTCTGAGAGGTAAGATCTAGAAGGTAGTGTAATCTTTGGAGAAAGCAAGCTAAAATTTATCTTAAAAGATGGCTAAAGCTAAGAAAAGCTATGGGAAAAAAACACATAAAAGCAATGGAAACAAAAAGTAAATGTCCTTTTCTGCACGATTCCTAAAGGCCCCATTCTAAAGAATAACCATGTACCTATGCAGGTGAGACACCAGAGAAAAAACAGTGAATGAAAACCAGACATTTTCTGTAGTTTGGAGAAAGACATTTTTGTTATTTAGCATCAATAATCTGAACAAGTAGCTTGGTATTTTCAGATATAACGGAAAAAATTACCTGCTGAAATCTTGCAGGCATAAGAGAAGAGTTGTGCTACAGCATATTCAAAAGTAACGTAGAGCACTCTTATCATATCTTAACATGAGCTGTGTAGCAAGAGCAGACTTGCACCCCACCCCCTGAAAACAGGGTAGGGGCTTGTAATTCATGCCTGCTATAAAAGGCAGCATATGCATATGTAATTTTGTGAACATGTACGTGAAAGCGTGCACAGGGATTAAAACTTCTGAGACTAGCTGCAGAAAAGTGCTTCGAAATCTGTGGATGTTTATTAACATTTTATGCATGTCCAGCAGTGTTGTCACCTGCTGTGTTGCTGCTCCAGATCTTGAATGTGTAATTGGTTGATTGCTGGTTAACTGTTATTAATAAACCAATAAAAAACTTTGATCTTGATTTGATTTACACCACACAGCTGAACAGCTTTGCCATGTGACAATCATGATGGAATAAAACATGAAGAGGGAATAAATGCTCTTTTTTCTAGTACAAGAATGCAGAGACATCAAATGAAGGTATCAAAAGACAGATTCAAGACCAAAAAATTAGATACATTTTCAAACAACGTGTAAAGTAATCTAAGAATTGTTTGCTGAAACATGTACTGGACACTAAACAGGTCAAAAATAGATTGAAAAGAAATTAATGAAAGAAAAATGGCTATTAAATATAATACATACATCCGCTGAACCACAAATTACTGAATATACTGAACGTATTTGGTATATTGAATAATTACACAGAAGAACACTGCAAGTTATTTCTAGTCTTGTATTTTTTGCCAGGCATTCACACGTAGCCACGGGTAGCAAAATATATTGGACTAGACAGACCTTTGGTTTGAGCAGTTGTCTGTTGTTTTCTCTCTATTGCAGGACTTTTTTTTCCTCTACAAAAGCACTTCTGCCATGTTGCTTAAGTACTGCACATAAATCTTTTTGCATCCCATAATAAATACCAAGGACTTACTGAATTTCCACAAAACCACAAGTACCAAACTTTATAAACCAGTATGAGTCAAACTAAATAAAATTCCACTCGTTATGCTAATGGAGTTCCAAATCCCCCCCAAAGCCCAAAAAGGCTGGCACAGCATACAATTTATGTAACGATTCAGTGGAAAACCCTTAGAAGTGCTGGAGTAACGCTCTGCTTTTCCCCTACCACAGGAATGATCCACAAAACAATACAAAATCAGTTCTCAGTTCAATGAATTTTCATCCATACCAAACAAAGAAGAGGAGATGCTCGTAACTTGGCCTCTTTTACCCTCCTGGGAAGCTTTATGCCATCAGGGCATGTTAAGAGAGCAACAACGAATGGTGTCACCTGCCTCAGGATTTAGATTAAAAGCACAGCCGAGGAGTAAAAGAGCCACTCCTTTGTGGAACTGGAAGTCACTTGCTTCAAAGCACTCTCACTTTTTTCCCTCTCTCTTGCAAATACTTTTCACAAGAAAAAAGAGGGGTTTTTTTTTTCACAACACAGTTTTCTTCCAAAGCTGGATTTCAGAAGCACAAGTAAGTAGATGTCATATACAAGAGTCACTTGTCAATATTACTCTAAGTTTAACCACAGTAACATCCTAATCTTTCCTGCGAAAGATCAAATAACGCAGTTTAGCTTCACTTAGTTTCAAAAGTAAATATTTTCAAAGCGGTTCGGTGATAATGCAGCGCTTCTGTGAAATGAGGACTCTGTTGTTAAGTGAGCTGTTTCCTTGGGAAGTGCATTTAACTGTTAAAATAGTCCACTCATCAAAATATGATGATCCTTATCCTTTCCCAGAGACTTACACATGCTGATGTCATGATAATTATTTTCCAGAAAATACCAAAGTTTGTAACAAATTTCATAGGGACAAAATATAGGCACTGGACTAACGTTTTGTTAGGCACCAAACATCACTGAAAATGATCTTACCTTCACATGCAGTGTCCAGAAGAGGTGACTGAGGTAGGAAAGATCAAACCAGACTAGAACTTACTGGCAAACTATTAATCTACTACAGCTTTTTTAGAAAATAAGTTCTGGAGACATTGTGTTAAAGATAGTTTAATGCCGGTATCTTACAAAACAACATTAAAAACTTTTTATAATCTCAACACAAGTATTGATTCCATTAACATTTTTATTGAATGACATCTACTTATTTTGATGCCTTTCTTCTCCTGTCCTCATTTTCAAATGGGATTTAAATAACTGTTTTTTCGAGAGAATGTCAATACTGAGATCTGTTTACTAAAATTTCTGAGACCACCCATCAGCACAGTATTTAAGTAATAATGCTGTATGAAGAGTCCCAATCCCTTCTTTTGCCAGTTCAATGATTAATAGTTGAAACAGTAATGCAATATCTTACAAAAACAATTTGCATGATTTGCTTGTGTATTTTAAGGAAACTCCAGAAGTATCTTTGATAATTTACTGACGCTCCTTTCATATAAGGCACATTAACAAGTAAGCTATTTTGCAACTGAAATTGATGTATTACCTTAAGATATCCAATTCAAAGGCAAAGAGGATTACACTGTCACAACATACAATTCATGTTGTCAGCATGGCATTATAATTTAATTAAGAGACAAACACATTTGCCTCCTCAGCAATTATTTTTTAAATCCATGTCACATGTGATAAAGATGATTGCGTAAAGCACTGTATCAACAATTTTTAACATTTCTCTCATAAAAGCTCAACATTAAGTGTTTTCTTCAGTCTTTTTCAAGAAATTGGCACTTGAAGTATATGCATAATAATGTATTTGGACTTTTTTTTTTTAAAAAAAAAAAGTAATAAACCCCCCCAAAAAAGTAATAAAACCCAATCTGGCATAGTTCCGAAATTTCCTTAGTGGCTTAAAATGCATCTCCAGTAGTCTATGCTACTTTAGTGTTAAATAATGAGGTAGCACGTTGTTCCAAAATTGCTCTGAATTATGTAAACCATTTGCTACATGCTGTTTGGACTTCACCCTTTGTTTAGAGCTGTTTGGTAATGCAGGACTTTCTGTCTTCTCTGGCTTCCTGGTTTTGCTTTTTTCTGGTGGAAGCTTATTACTGTAAATTATTCTTTTGCCTTTTTTTTTTTCCTCTTCCTCTCCTTCCTCCTCTCCCCCATCCTCTTCTTCCTCCTCTCCTACATCACCTTCCTCTTCTTCTTCTTCGCCCTCTCCCTCTTCTCCTTGTTCTTCCTCTTCTTCCTCCTTTCCCTCATCCTCTTCTTCCTCCTCTCCTTCCTCTTCTTCCACCTCTCCTTCATCCTCTTCTTCCACCTCTCCCACATCTCCTTCCTCTTCTCCCTCCTTCCCCTCTTCCTCATCACCTTGTTCCTCCTCTCCCTCTTCTCCCTCTTCCCCTTCTTCCTTCTCTCCTTCTTGCTCTTCTTCCTCCTCTCTTTCTTCTTCCACTTCATCTTCTCCCTCTTCTTCCTCCACTCCTTCTCCCTCTTCTTCTTCCCCTTCCTTTTCTTCATTTTCCCACTCCTCTTCCTTGTTTTCATCTTCTTCCTCCTCCTCCTCCCCTTCTGCTTCTTCCTCTGCTCCTTCTTCCTCCTCCTCATCTTCCTTGTTTTCATCTTCTTGCCCCTCCTCCCCTTCTGCTTCTGCCTCTGCTCCTTCCTCTTCCTCCTCATCTTCTCTTTCTTCTTCCACTTCATCCTCCCTCTCTTTTCCTTTTTCTTCAAATCCCTCCTCCCCCACCTCCTTAGTCTTCCTATTTGCATCTTCCTGCTCTTCTCTGGATACCTCTTCTTCTTCCCTTCCTGCCAATGATTCTTCTAACTCCTCTTCACTGTCTTTTCCATTCTCTCTTTGTTTTTCTTCTTCATTTTCCTTTTCATCTTCTCTTTCTTCTTCTGCCTCTATCTCTTTTACTTCCTCCCCCTCTCTATCTTCACCTTCTTCCTCACTTTCATCTCTTCCCTCACATTTAACCTGTTCCTCCTCTTCTTTTTCAGTGTCTTCCTCTTTTGCACATTTCTCCTCATCCTCTTCTCCCTCACTCAACATTTCTTCTTCCTCCATCAGCCTGCTTCCCTCATCTCCTTGCTCTTTGCTATCTTCCTGATTAATCTCTTCTGTATCCTCATTCTCACTGTCTCTTTCAGCCTGCGATTCCTCTCTTTCATTTTCTTCATTATCTTTTTCCTCTTCATCTTCTTCTCTTTCTACTGTAACTTCTTCAACTCTATCTCTTTTAGCTTCACTCTCTTCTTCTTCCTCCCCTAATTTGCCTTCACTGTCATCTGTTTCATCTAGTTTTTCACTTTCACCCTCTTCACTGCCTTCACTCTCCTGCTCTTGATTAGATTCCTCTTCATTCTTAATTTCTAACTGCCTGTCTTCATCAGATTTAGCTTCAGAATTCATTTCTTTGTCATTCAGGCTTTTTCTATCAGTCTCTTCTACATATTCTTTCTCACTGTTTGTAGCTTGTATCTCTTCAACCTCACTGTCTTCTTTTTCCAAATCCAGATCTTTCACTTTTTCTACTGTTTTCATTGCCTTCTGGACCTCTCTGCCTTCATAGTAGTACTCTACTTTTGCCCTACTCTTAAGTATGTATTTTGGAAGATCATTACTACTTTCTTCTGTTGAAGATGATGACATAGTTACAGCTATTTGTTTCAAAAATTGATCCTTTTTTTTAAACTGTCTCTGCTCTTCACTACTTTCCTCTCCTCTGACACATATCCTTTCACACTTATCAGATTTTTCAGCAACATCCTTTACTTTGTTTTGATTTTCTACTGCTTTTTGACTTCCTTGGTCTTTAACAGGATTGTATTTTTGTACAATTAATGAATCAATCTGGGGCTGATCCCTGGATGCAGAAGGAAGGACATCTATTTTAAGGGATTGCTTAGATTTAACAGCTTTTGACATTTTACTGGAAGACTTTGTTTTTTCAGTCAGAATTTGTTTTTCAGTGGGAAGACTGTAAGTTACATCCTCTCTGACAAATTTGGGATTTTCTCCATCTTCTTTTTCCCGGTTCACTAATCTGCATTTGTCCCTAGTAATTTGTTGAACACCACTTTCTGAAGTGCTAACACTTTGAGCATGCTCAGATTTACTTTTCACTGTAATTTTTTTGGCCACAGGCTTTCCTACAAAGGCACTATGTTTTTCTAAATCTTGTCTCGGTGATTCTGAAAGTGAAGACTGCTTTTGTAAAGAGCCAGAGTTCAATTTTGAGCCCTCCTTCAGGAAACCAGAATCCTTGTTTTCTAGCCCACCCTTACCATCTCTTTTCAGTTTCACATTTTTATTGTTCTTCTATTCCACATGAGAAGCAGAAAATTAAAAAGAAAGAAGGAAAGCATTAAGGACAAATGACAGCAAAAGAAAAAGGTTACAAAAATATCTGAACAAGAAAAGAAACTATTTGTCTGAGGAGACTAAAAGACAGCGTAAGAGGTAGAGTGTTTCACATGAAATGAATTTACAACGGCACATGTTTTAAGAATATAAAATAATATTCTGTTGATGGCAAATGTACCTCTATGCCTTTTTCACTATCCAAGCTCTGGAAGTGAATGCAGTAAGTGCTGTGCAGCCTCCATCATGTCCCATAAGCTAGAGCACATGCAATGAGTGAGGCCGTGCAAACAGAAGGAAAGAACTACAGTTCCCTTACACCTGCTTCCATCTTTTCCCCTCAGGAAATTTTCTGATGTACTCACTGTTATGCTTTTTCTAATAAGTTTGAATATCTACTGTCTTTCTGCTTTAAATTTTACACTTATGTAACAAATCCTGCAGTATACTTTTTTAAATATAGAATAAAATTATAATTAAATATATCAAAATGCTAAAATGCTGGGCTCACTTTAGGAGTGACATAGAAAGATAGTACAAAGGTATTTTAATTTTGTAACTAAAACCAGCATTATTGTTCTTTAAAATATACTTCATGGTGAATATCTGTAAATAAAATCTTTATTCACGCTGTGTCCCAGAAGTCAAACAAAATATTTTCATATCAAAATACCAGTAGAAATGCATGTTATCAGCTTATGCTATTAAGTGTATAGGATAGTCTCTCACTCCGTAACTTGCTAAAGTATTATAAATTCTCATCTCAAGCTATGCTGGGTAAAGAAGTTCCATGTGCCTGCAAAAATTCTCTTGGACTTCAGCCAGCTTCTTAGAATTTTACCTCATGGATATTCAGAAAATTAGCCAGAGGAAGCCTAGCTTTTTTAAGACTCAAACCAAAACAGCAAAGCACAACGATAATACATGATTTATAGAACTTTTAAACTACAGTGTAAGGACACATATACATATAATTACAGTACCTTTTGTTTTTGAAGTGGTGATAATTTTAAGGACTGGTCACTGGGATTCAATTTCATTGCATGTGTCTGGAAAAAATAAGATCCCTATTAAAAATACAACTAACAGGGAAATCAGCATCAAAGCCCAGTTCTATTCAACAGAGTTATTATATGAACGTTTTAATATTATTGCACAGTCAGGTTGAGACAAATTTGTATGATCACTCAACTGACCTATTTCACCTCCCCTCCCTCACTTACCGCTTATGAAGAGAGTGTTAGCCAGCTTAGATGTCAAAAACTTCTGTAGAGACTGAAAGTTAGATGCCTCTCTTACAGCCCACAAGAACATTTTAGATCTAACTTCCACTCGCCGTGAAGTTGTGACTACAAATACAACCCCTTGCTCCCTTATCATAATTACAACCTTCAACGTAACAACCTGTTTGAAACCACAGCCTTGACAGAACATGTTCAAAGAAACATCACATAGCAGAAATTCTCATTGGAATCTAATGCCTTTATCTCTTCTATGTAAACCACCCAAAAGGCAAGCCAACGTAGAACACTACTAGGTGGGCAAGTGTACCAAGATTTTGGTCATCCCGTATACTGCGAATGACAAGATAATTTTCTCTGCCGCTATTTGTTAACTGCTTATGGTTTAACCATCTTATTCTTTTTCAACGCAGCGAACAGGGGCAGTTCTGACTCCCAAGAATTTGTATCACTACTATTGATATTAAAGATTTTTTACTTATCACACTTGTCAATATTGCCATGGTTTAGAAAAATTGAAAGAACTATGCTGCGACAAATTACTTTCATTCAGATTCAAGAAAAGCAGTAATTTTTCTTTGTGTTTTGACAAGTTTGCGTGACAGACTTTTTTTCAAATTTACTATTTCATTCTGATAAATGTTTTAAAATTGATTGACAATGGGTACAAAAGCAAAAATGAGAAGCAAGACTAGCACATAGTATGCGTTATGTTATAAATAATGCCTCAGTAAAATAAATGAATCCATGTCATGCATCACATCTGAAAAGAAACTTTTTTCTTGTGAATTAAACTAAAGTTTTATAATATTAAATAAATGGTATGCACAGTTTGTTAAATTATTAAGCATTGTTAAGTACAAATGAGTAATAATTCCGTAAAATGTGCAAAACTTCCAGGATAATCAACATCATATTCAGAGCTGAATCCACAGTAAGTTGCTCATTTGTTTCCATTATCACTGAGGTTAAAACGAAAAAGACAAAAAAACAACACTCACTCCAGTGCACTGCGTTAGGGCCAGGACATGCCCTATCTGCTGAGAGAACAAAGTGTTTTGGAAAGGTGCACAAGTTACAAGGTGAATGTGTTTTTTAAATATTAGAAATACGTAGCAACATGCTTGGGAATCACCGAATAATCAAACACTTTGCGTTTTGGTCTTCTCTTTAGTACGATCCACCTGTAATAAAAAAGCTCTTCTTGGAACAGGAAAAGACAGCTCTTTGCTTCAGTTCCTGCAATTCTCTCTTGGAAATCATCAAGAAGGACAGAGATAGATATCACCATGTGGTATCCAGTGTCCTTCCTCCTTTTCTTTCTGATATCCAGAACCAGAGCGCAGGAAGGGGCTGCACTATTTGGACTACTTCAATATCATATTACAACACTACTTGGAAAATGAAAGCAAAATTTAGCACTGGGTAATGACAACAACATGAAATGTATGCTTAATTAACAGTACGCTACATAGGACGTTCTGGGCTGGCCAGGAGTGCTGGTCTAGAACTTTGTTCTTCCTCTGCATAAAAATAAGTGAAGCACAGATTCATTAGTGGAATGTATTACCATATTTAGGACGTCCGTTGTATCTCCAAGGTTTCTGTCATTACTTTCATTATCTGAATCTTCTTCTGCAGAGCTTTCACCAGGTTTATCTTTCTGATGATTCTCTTCTTCAAGGTAAAGTAGGAGGAAGTAAGCAAATACCATAGGAACAAGCAATATACAGCAAACAGAACACACCACTCTTGTACAATAGAGATTATCTCTGTTTTACTGACACAGGACTGAAGTCCCGAAATTACTCATTCCCTCAGCCTAAGACATGGCAGAAACGCTTCCACCTCCTTTTTGCCAGTATTAATAGAGGTAGATCAGCAATCAGGCCTCAGTGCACTGCAGACCTCTGCCCATTTTTGCAGGCTTTCAAAGCCTATATACTTAATGGGACAAAGCTTCTTTTGGATAACCGCTTTAATAAGTGTACCAGTTAGACTAAACTAGCTGCAGTAATATTTTCTACATTGCACATTATCTGTGTAAAGGATGGAGAGACAGCAAGTGTAAGTCCAATGTAGCATCACAGAAATGTACTTCATCATTTTCAGGTTCATCTCAAGTTCATCGGGTAGATGATCAGTTCCATACGGCACAAAACCTGAGGGTTTAGGCCTCAGAAGACTCTAAAGGCTATTATTCAACTTCCACTGTGTTGCTTTCCTGGAAGCAGAAATGCTAATGGACATGCTGGCGGCTTTACAAAAAATCATCTTAATTCTAACTGAATTACTTTCAAATTGTATTCCACTGTCCAATAAATCTGAGCTAACTTTTATGCAGAAGCACTGCATTCTGTACTCTTCAGTACTGCTCTTCCCAGGAAATCACACACACCCAGGAATCCAGATGAAGTCCACAACTGCTCTGGAAAATCTGTACAACAGTTCAGTGCTGTACCAGTATCATTGTTAATGCAGGCTTTTGCATTAGCTAGAATATCGCAAATCCTTAGTATTTTAGGTATTAAGAGAGTAAGGAGTACTTTTGCATTTCCAAGTGAAGAAGAAAGATTCTCTTAGAATCCGTGGATCACTTTTCTTATCCAAGGTCTTTTGTAGGACTAACCGTTTCTTTAAGATTGTTTCTAATTTTTTTTTAGGAGTTCTTTTTCTTTTTTGTTGAAATGGAGCAAGCAGTTACTAATCTCACTAGTTCTGTGAAGTCCTATTTCTCCAGGCTTGGACAACCAGAGGTACAATTTTAAAGTTCTTTCTCTATCATTTAACCCTTCTCTAAATCTTTAAGCTCATCTTCCAAACATGAACAATGTGAGGCAATTTCCTGATTGCATTTCTCAGTTTTCATATGTTGTCAGACCCTCTTGAAGTTAAGAACGAACTTAAAACTTCTTTCATGTTCAAAATGAGCATTTGCTTAAGAATTACATAATTGTCAGAAAACAGTAGCATGATCTGGGAACATTTCACCTTTTTTGTGATGGCCTCTGTGCTTCACAGGTTCAGCTCTACGAAGACTCGTTGCAGAAAACCAGAGTGGGCTAGTGTTGCTAGACACAGGCAGGGAAGGTTTGGAGAATCTTTCTCCCAGTGCAGGCAGAGTTTGTGCCATTCGAATAAACTGTTCTGGTGACTTTTCCTTTAGAAGATTAAAAAAAATATATTGAGAATAAGTGTAGAAGAATGAAATGTAAGCAATGTCTCATACTCAACACAGAAAATTTTCTTTTAGCTGATCATACAGTGTCGTAACTTTGCATACAAAGCATAACCAAGATTTCTTCAATATTTTAATTATCTACAGCCCTGAAAAGGGGAGAGCGCGATATTTAGGTTGTTTCTACACAACAATTTCTAGCAGTCTTAAATTACAAAGGAGAAAAAGAACTTTGATTTTTATTTAAAATGAAAATGCAGTTCTCTCAAATAACACTGAGGTATTTAATCAACAACATCAATACATTTTTATAAAATAAACGTGGCTTTGTGGTGGAGTTAGTTTTCAGATAGGTATGTGAAATCATACAACTCAGTGTGCTGTTCAGGGAAATCACATGGAATGTGTAGTGGAGATAAAGGAAAAGAAATTACTATTTTAAGTAGCTACAGGACCTTAGGATCATTTTAAGCTGATTGCAAAACTTTGTCCTTTGATATTTCATAAACTATACACTTTTTTAACATATTCAAAGACTCAGAACAATAGTAAGAGTTAGGTTCTTGCTCTTTTAAAAAAATATTTCCAAGATAGTTTTAAAAATGCAAAGGAACAGGCTCTACATTTTAGAATTCAATAAAAATGAAAATCAATTTAGCCTTTTTTATAGAAATACACAAGTAAAATCTGACCAATACCTATTTTTTACCTTTAACAATTTTGGGATCAGAGTAGATGTTCATTCTTCTTTTTATATATTAAAATCAAACACATTTTTTAAGAAAATTCATTTACCTGCTAGGTATATGCTGTGATTTTAGCTTTAAAAGTGATTTTGTTCCCTAGAAGTATGTTAACTCTTAAAAGCTCTGATTTTACCCTCTCTCGACGTCGCATTCGTGCTGATGTTAGTTGTAAGGTGTTCGCTAGTGGTGACTCTCCACTTATTTTAGAGAAAGTAGTAGTCAAACGGCTCTCATGTAAATCTTCTAAGAGTACTTCTTCAGATCCTTTAGGTCTTGGAGCAGCAAAAACTAGCATGTGACAACCACCACAAGCAACCTACAGCACCAAAAAATGGTCTGATTATTTCATTTGCAAGTATCAATCCAAGGATCTCATTTTGTTACACTTATCCACCTCTGAGGGCTCAGAGTATAAGAAAACCATAATAAAAGATATTACATGACTTCAAATTTAGTTCCTAATAATGTTAGCAAGATAAAAGTACTTAATTGTGTTTATTAATGCCTAGTGATCTATGTTCACTCCTTCTTAATTAAATACCATATATTTGTATCGAACAGAACAAAAGGTAGGCCTACCAAATTACTGACAGAGAAGAAAGCAAGATATTTCCATTGATTTTCAAGGAATTTGAGCTAATTATTTTGATTCAAGTAAACTGTGGGCAATATCAACAGCTTTAGCGATACAAACCAAGATATTTTACCACAAAATTCACAGAATGTAAAGCCAGTCCTACATCCTCGAGCAGATAAAGTTCTAATACATAAAGAGCAGAGGTTTCACTTCCTAAGTTAAAGCCCTTACCACTTCTGGTAAAACTTCCTTAAATTCTAAGTCCAGTAAACAAACAGAAGTGATCAACAGACTTTTGTCCCAAATTTTGCTCAGTCCTGAGTCAGGTTTGCATTCTTCATGCTGACAATTCTGTGACATTTATTCCTCAAACACCTCAAGAAATAGAGGAAAATAATGCCAAAAATCTAAGAGCAACAAATATGTAATTTTATAGGCTACCACAGCGCTATAGACCAAAATACTACAGCACAACACTACTGAATAAAACCCTAAAAACTAGTCTGTATCTGCAGTCTAAGCCAAATACATTCTAAACTAAATGAACAGCGTAAATTACTATTATTTCCTTTTTCTTTCAGTTTGAGTTGTCTACTAATTAAACATTATAGAAAGAAATAATTCTATAACGAGATTTCAACTCTCATTAACAATATGTTTCATAAAAAGATCAAGATTTTGATGTCTGAGAAACACGAACAGAAATTTTACCAAAAGGACGGTGAATCTCAAGAAATTATGACACAGAGTGGGATCAAACTGATTTGTAAAATTCTCTTCTCCATGGCCTAACTTGCCATGTCGCCCATCTCCAAAAGTAAACATAAGGCCGTTCTCTGTATGTGGAAAAAAAAGGATGTTATTAATAACAAAGATTCAAAAAGAAACCAAGAGAAAACCATTACAAAATAACAGGTCATGCACATAAGGAATATTTCTCTTCCAAAAGCAAAACCTGAACAACTAAGTTTGGATTTTCAACACAAAGTACTGTCTGAGATGAGTTAGTCTAGAAAATTTGTAAAAAAAAGCCAACAACAAAATAACACAACTGAAATTGTATACTTTTTTGTGAGACATGATTATGAGGTTGTAACTCTCCCAGGAGATAGCGGGCAAAGAGCTATGCATGGCATGGTTGTGAATCAGAAATTCCTAATATCAAATTTGTCTGTCTCACTAGCTCATTTAACCTCTAGAACTAGTAAGTTTGCATATGTCGTCTTCTTCTACTGCTCATTTTATAATGCAAGCTTTTACAGTTTAATAGAGAGTCGAAGGGATTGTAGCCTAGAATTTTTCACTTACATACCTGCTATGACAGCAGTATGATTTTCCCCACATGTAACATTACATATTTTATGCCTCTTCAAGTGTTTCACAGACTTCGGTATTGACGTTTCAAAAATAAAGGTACCATGTCCCAGCTGCCCATATTGTCCAAGACCAAAAGTATATACATTTGTCTCTGAAAATGCACAGGCAAAGTTAACAACAAATACGCTGTTACATATATATTATAAATCGGCTTTCTCTTAGCTAAATGGAGGTCAAATGACATCAGCATCAAAAAATCAGTATTTTATCAATTAAAAAATATACCAACTAATCAATTACATTTATCAATTTATAAAAAACCACAACAAAATAAAAAAAAGGAAAAGAGGCACAAAAGAAAATTCAGAAAATAATTGTGAATGGTTCAACATGCAGTATATTTTCTAACATAACTGCAAAATAATTCACAGAACATTAGCTAACAAAAAATGTATGCGAGTTTACACACTGCAATTAATACAAGAACACAATATTTACATATATGCACATTTTCAACCACAACAGTCTCATCTTAATTTCTAGTTACTTACACTGCATGACCCTAAATTTAATGGACTAGATCCCTTAAAACCAATATTAATCTATATATAAGAAGAGACTGGAACAATAACAGGTTTCAGTGTTCCAAATCATCCCTGAATTAAATACAGAGAGCACTGTAATTGTGTTATCTTGTGACAGAATAATAATCTTTCCACGTTTATATTTTGTCCGTTTAATGGACTATCTGTGCCAGGAAAAAGAGTAAGAGCTTCTCCAAAGCAATAAAGATTCTTGGTGTGTCGATCCCTGGCACTCCACCACAGTAGGGGGAGACTATGAAGCCTGGAAATCTTGATGAGGTCATGGTTGAAAAGGGAAATTCAAAGACCAAGTTTTTTGGGAAAAGGAAAAGGTTTCCTAGAATTTTATTCCCTTGCCCTTTTTTCTTCTGCATGTAGGCAACAGAGGAAAAGCTAGAGAAATCCTATTTCAAGTACGTGAAAAATTTTTTGAAAACCTGAGAAAGATTGGAAAGGACGAAAAATATGTCAAGCAAAAAGAACTGAGACTTGGGAGCAATATATCATTACATGTCTCTTAGGAACACGGTGCATAGCACGCCTGCTCCTGCTACACTGATGCCACTGAAAATCTCACTGCCTTCAAAAGCAAGAATGTGTGGAATGACAATCTATGGAGAATCTTTGCTTTCTGAGCACTTCTTTGTGTCAAAGAAACAAGGTAACCAGAATAGCCAAGTAATTTTCAGTGTCACAGAAGCAGTTTATACAGTGTGACAAAATTCTCAGAGCAGCCATAAACCGAAGAAATATTAAAATCAAATCATGTTACCATTCCCTCAAACTAATCCTTTACTACTGTCAGGGAAAGAAAAAGCAGAGGACAGACCACGTTCCATATTACTACCGTAGTACAATTACTAACTCAGATTGAACTTTCCAAATTTAAAAGCAACCGTGATTAACTATCATAACTCTACGCACGGAAACGCTCTTTCTAGGAAAGGGTTTGCCCTTTCTGCACCTTTTAAATTGTTCCATATTAAGATGTAATGAATTCATCCATTAAAAAAACCCCAAAACAATGGTCTCATACTTTTAAGATTGTTAATGAAAAATAGTGAGTAAAGCTGTTTTTTTTACTACCTGTAATAGTATAGCTCCCTCTGCTGGAAATTACAGTGCAAGAAAGCAACACCTTCCGAGAATCTTTAAAAAGTAAAACAAGAGGCAAGAAATTTTCTGTAACGTTTAGACTTTCTGCATAAGAACCAAGAAACAACACATGAAAGACAGAAACTTTCTCTAAGCAAATCGAAATCTCATCTTCACTTCAGTAAATGACTTTCTCGGGATGGCTGATTCTATAAATTCTGTTTAGAAGTACTTTATTTGTCTGAAAATTTCTTTGAAAACCAGCAGATCTTGTGAGTTTCAAAAGAAAGAGCTTTATCCAATTAACTTAATCACCTTGAGTTAAGTGGGAGTTTCTTTCACATCATCCCTAATCCTAGCTTGAAACACACTGTGCCTTTTGCATTTGTGTTTAGGAGATGTTCTCAAATGCTAACTTGGAAAGTATAGGAAACTATTTTCTTTCCTCTGTTTCTACTGACAATGAGGAGAATGGACCAATCCAAATCCATCTTAGAGTGCCTTATAAGAAGAAAGATTTCTTCTACTGCCCCGATAGACCAGGGGCACCTAAACTCTGACCCTCCTACATTTGCTTATTAGTTAATTATCAAGGCAAAGGAAGAAAAAAACTTTGCACTTTTCTTGTATGATTTACTGTTCTGGTGCAGAAGGGAGGCTAAACCTCAGTAACCATCACATTTGGCAGAAATGAGGTATTTCTTCCTATCTGTCTTTATAAATGCGCAGAAAGAGAAGTCTATGGCAAAGCAACCTCATAGAATTAGTAATAAAATGACAAAGGTGAATTTCATAATTTTAAACCTGAATTTGTAAACTAATTTGCCTAGAGCATGAATCCAAAAGGGGATATACCCTACTGTCACCCTCTTCTTACTGTCTCCAGTCCCAGTAAGGATTTGGTTGGATGAGAAAAATAAAATGTGTTGCCAGCAGAAGGGCAAACCTCATTCCCCGACTCCGGTCTCTTCAGTCCCCCCCTGCACAGTCTCTGCTGTCCCCGTGGCTATGCTGTGAGGCAGCTCAGCTCAGCGAGCCAGGTTTTGGGGGTTTTTGCTGACACGTTTTCCTGTAAAATGGCCAAGGCAGCTCCAGAGCACTACAAAGGGTGAGGAAAGATACACGGCTGCAGCAGCACGAGGGAAGTGGCGCGGCCTCCAGTGCCTCAAAGAATCACCAGGATGGCTCAGCTACACCAACACCACCCAGAAGAAACAGAACACAAGTCATGGTCTGGCCTCTGGGGGGGACCTGCTGCCTCCCCCACAGCAGCAGCCCACGGCAAGAGCCCCTGAAGGATGACGAGAAATGGTTTCAGAGCTTGCACCGAAGCCACCAGCTTCACTGCTCCAAGTGACCTCCAGCACTTGAGTGCCAAGACTGATTCTCCTTTGCTTCTCACATTTTCTTTTTTTGAAAGAACGGGGACATTTCCCTGTAACTGCGCGTCTTCTACCTTTGCAGGCATCTTAGGGAGTATGTAACAATTCTTTAATCTCCACGACCATATTGTCACTATGAAAAAAAAATTCTAGAGAAATCTACATAGCTCTAAGATATTTTAACACATGCTATTCACTGAAAGAACTGTGTGAGTGTGAGCTCCAAGAGTGTTTTTAAGATTCATGCATTCCTTGCTATGCATTTAAGGCTACAGAGAAAGTTAAAAATCCACAGAAGAAAAACAGAAACAGACAGGAATGCTTATATCTATCCACATAGATTAATTTCCCTCTATTATTATCACTATTATTACTACTACTATTATGCCAATGGTCTATCCACTCCTACAATAGCTTTATTTTTAAACAGCTTATGCTGAAAAATGTTGCTGTAAAAATGAGCTGTCAACACATTACTCAATTCTACCAGAGCTAGTAATTGGATTTGGGGATTTCAGTATAAATATTATACAGACTTAAGAATGGCCTGAAAAATCTAGATAATCCTATATGGTTTGAATAGTCAATTCTGTCATGAAAAGGTAGAGCTTTTTCATCTCTTCATCCTCTTTCAAAGGGTATCTTGATTTTCTTTTCCTTTTAAAAGACCTTGAGACAGAAGATGAAAAATCCAACATTTTACATACTAACACACTAATGTGATTTATTGTTTTGTCAAATGACCTACAGTTGCTGGACTGCTTCGCTTTTTCCTTTGAAGAAACATGTTTGCTTTCCCTCCTTTCATAGAATAAAAGGAGGTAATATATCCTTTTATAGACATGATTATTCCCAGAAGATCTGAGAAAACTGGAAGATAGTAAGGCCACTCCCAATCATCTGCTTCTTCTTCTCCAATTTCTAGATTCACAAGTTATTATTCTGCCTTTTAAAAAGTTTTAACGAAGAAGTACGTGAATTGAGATTGCTGCTCTCATATTTCTTTTGAAAGTGTCAACACCACCAGCTTTCATTTTCAGCAAGGAAGCACTTTCAAGTATTTTGGGTAGTGGATACTTTTTTTTCTATCTCTGAGAGAAGTCATCTGGGGTGAGAATATAATCTTCTTGAACTGGCTGATAGATTGTCATGAAATGAATAGGTTTGTGTTGCTACAGTGAGAGAAAGCTTTTGAATGATAGAAATTTTAACTGTGATTGTTTATTCTTTGGAACAATTGCCAATATTAAAAGCAGTACTAACAATAATACTTACAAAGGAGATTGTTTCCAATACCATATTCAACTTTTCTAAAACCTTGCATCTTTAAAAAGTTTTTTTCCAAATCATTGCTCGCAATACTTTCATTCTTTGTTCTTTGTGAAAAAAAAAATAGTTTCCCATTTTGGTGTTTCAGAGGAAAAAAATCAACTATATTTTCTAACCATTTACTCTGATACTTGCTGGAGAGATTCCAAACAGCAGCTTGGTTTAATAACCCAGGTAACAGTGTTCGTACCACACCAAATTTCCAATAGAATGGGTAAGACAGCCACAAAAGAGAAATCAAATGAAGTGCTTTGGAATACACTACTTATATGTGAGAGCCAGGAAGAAACTTGCCTTGTACTCAGTAAAATAACTGAGTAATTATACTTTCTTCTATGCCTTCTTCTAATTTGATAAACCCTAAGTAGAACTGATGAAAAGAAATGAGCCAAGATGTGCAACAGTATCCATATGACATTTTCTCCTACCCTATTCCTATTGTTAAATAAGACATATGAAACAGGGGGATATACAAGAGCCAGAAACTCACTTCTCATTTTTTAAGACTGAAATGGCACACCCTGAAAAGACAAAAACAGCATCAGTATATATTGTGTTACTAAAGCCAAGTAGCACCCATTTTCATGGAAGATGATACTTGAAATTCAGAATTCCCTCAAAATTGTACTACTTTCTTAAGTCAAGAAGATAAGCTTAGAAGAGGTATAAATATTTCTGCTACTCTTTAAAGACATATCTCTCGTCAGAATTCTCACTTTGTGGTCGTGTCACTTCATCTCAAGATGCAATATACATGTCCATACATCAAGTTAAGTTTCTAGTGCAAAGCCTATAATGCACGTAAGCCACGCTCACTTTTAAAATTATCAGAGTCTCCAAATCCCTTTTCCCAATTTTTCAAATTTTATTTTGAGTCAGAAAAAATTTTGTATGTCAGCACTCCTGATGAGGTATCTTTCACTTGAGACAGTATTTCTATTATCCTCTACTCTTTTGTTCAACGTGTCTTAGGCAGAAGTTCACAGCCGTAGCCTATAAAATAATAGCTGAATCACATTAAAAATATCTGTCACAAAAACTATTCATCTTTAGGAAAATGTATTTGCTTTCCTCTTCTCTTCACTCAAATGGAACTTCAAGCACTCAACACTTTGATCATTAACCGCCATCTAAGTCAGCACTGAATTTCCTACTTGCCTTCTACAAAATTTAGTTCTGTAGGCATGCAAACCTTACATACTGACTTACTATAGTGTTTTCTTCACTGTATTTGGCTTTTGGCATTTATATTTTGCATCTTTATTCTAGCTCTTTCACACACTTCACTATAACGATGATGTCATCCAGGTCTACTAAATCACTGTAACAATCATTTGTTGCAATGAAATTTGATCACATTAAATACCATTGAAACAAAATATCTACTGTTTGGCTTAAGATTTATGGTTAAAAAAATAATCAATAATGATAATCACATTCTTTCTGCAGAACTTCATTTCATAATCCATAATATAATGCTATGATTTACACACTTTCTGCCCCAAAATTTATGATATTTTTTTTCCTAAAAATGATAATCTGATTTCATGTAAAGAAATTTATTTTATGACATAGAATACTGCCAGGGTAAGACTGTATGTTGGTGGAGGAAGAGAGAAAAAGCATCGAAATGTAGACAAATGTTTGCATTATTTCCTGGATTGGCTACTGTTATTTCCTCTTCATGCTTTTCTCAAATGAGATTTAACCTACCCAGAACCTTGCACCTTGACTCATCATTACACATAACCTTCCCCAGCACCTCACTTACATTTTCACTCTCTCCAGTGGCTTGCAGTACAATACCACATCATATTACTTAAAATCTCCCTCAGTTAGATTTTTAGTTGGTATTTTAGAAATGTTGGTTACTGATAGCTATACATCCTGCTTATTTTTACAGCTTTTGCATTTTGGTAGAAGATTAATTATAGGCATGCTATACAGCTGTGGAATTCATTACAAGCCAAAGCCAGTATTTTTAAAATCATCTGTGGGTAAAGTCAAACTCCACTTTCCTGCATCTACAATACTATAGTTAGGGATAGAACTTGCGGAAATAAATATTTAGCGATGCTTTGCATAAATTTCTTTGAAAAGCCAATTTACCACTGTCACATAATTATTTAATAATACAGTAATGTATACCATCTTCCAAGTACTATACGTACAACCCTGTGAACTAATATGTAACAGTTGTATTTATCAATTTTTATAACTTGTACCATATATTAAATGCCTATATCTGCACTAGTTTTACACATATACTCAAGATTTTGCTCAAAGTCACAGGCAAATTCTGTATCACAACAAGAGATATTTAACCCATTTAGGAATCCAGTAGACTGTGCATCTCCATCACTATTCATAGAATCATAGAATCATAGAATGGCCTAGGTTGGAAGGGACCTTAGAGATCATTTAATCCAGCCTCTCTGTCACCAGGGACGTCACCTCTCGACTAGATCTGGCAACACATGGGGACCGAACAGGAATCGAACCTGCGACCTTTGCATTGTTAGCACCACACTCAACTGACTGAGCTAACCGGCCCCTCTATTAATAGACAGCTACTTGAAAAGTGACTTCCTAAATAGTTTCCTAAATATTCAAGGTCACTTAAATTTACTGCAGAATTACTACACTTAAAATGCTATTTATTGGAGCTAAGGCTATACAGAAAAAGAAAATAGTATCTTATATGCCTTCAGATGCTGGCAATCCTGAGCTGTGTGGAACTGAACAGGCCTCCAGCCAGGCACAGGAGGCTAAACAGATCGAATCCATGGAAGGTTACCCCATTTCAGGCACTTGAGCTCTTACAGGATACTCCTACAAGCAAAACAACTCTACACTTCATTTATATTGTCAAATAAAAAGGACATTCACGTAGGAACTTGCTGCTGAAGTTTTAGATCATAGAATCATGGAATCATAGAATCATTCAGGTTGGAAAAGACCCTCGGAATCACAGAGTCCAACCATTAACCCTACGCTACAAAGCTCACCCCTAAACCATATCCCCCAACATCACATCTAAACGACCTTTAAACACCTCCAGGGATGGGGACTCAATCAACTCCCTGGACAGCCTACGCCAATGGCTGACTACTCTTTCTGTGAAATTTTTTTTCCCTAATCTCCAATGCAAACCTACCCTGTTGCCACCTGAAGCCATTCCCTCTTGTTCTATCACTAATTACCTGTGAGAAGAGACCAGCACCAACAATGTTCTTTCAGGTAGTTGTAGAGAGTGATGAGGTCTCCCCTCAGCCTCCTCTTCTTCAAACTAAACAGCCCCAGCTCCTTCAGTCGTTCTTCGTAAGATCTATTCTCCAGGCCCTTCCCCAGCTTTGTTGCCCTTCTCTGCACTCGCTCCAGCACCTCAATATCTCTCTTGTATTGAGGTGCCCCAAACCGGACACAACACTCAAGGTGTGGCCTGACCAGTGCCGAGTACAGAGGGGCAATCACCTCCCTACTCCTCCTGGTTACTCTATTTCTAATGCAAGCCAGGATGCCACTGGTCTTCTTGGCCACCTGGGTACACTGCTGGCTCAGTAAAGGAAGGCAAGGACACCCAAACAGTGCCTGCAGGCTCCTCTGCCCCAGTTAGCTGCCTGCCTTTATCCTATAGCCAAGGGACACGCACAGCACAGGACTCAACATTAAACTATCCACACAGCACAGCACAGGCCTGCGTTTTGGCCAACAGCTACGTGGATTTCTAACTCCTTAATGTACCATAGTCTTCCAGTTCGGATCCCTACAGCACCTTACTTTGCAGTGGGATGCAAATTCCTTGGCATAAATTGAGTTTACTGATTAAGTTACAGGGCTGTAAGGAACAGCAGTTAAACTACATACCTGTCAGCACCACTGTGTGTTCTCCACCACAGGCGACTTTATTAACCTTTTCCATAATTCCCCGTACAGGCTGTGGGACTCTATTGTTCTTCAGCTGTTCGGGCAATAATCCCAGTTTCCCATTCTCAGCTTCTCCAAAAGTATAGAGCTCACCATCTCCTGTGAAAACACAGAACAGAGCAGGATTTCCAGCACGCACTCAGAAGCAAGGATGGGTTGTCAAGACTGCTACACAGACAAATCAGTAAGGCAGAAAAGTGTATGAACATTACAGGATTGCTGAACACCCTTCTATAGTGTCTAACAGTCTGCCTTGATGGGACAAGAAGAACCTAAATTTTAGCCCCCTCCAAAATGAGAATAGCAATATTTAGCCTGCAAGGAATCTAGCCAATGGAAGAAAACAAAACCATATACAACCTGCTTCTGAGAGGTTATAATTCCCTCTGCAATGAGTATTTATGCCAAACGAAGTGGCTTGTAAGACTCTCAATTAAAACAGAAAACCATTTTTCATGGAATTCTGATGGAAAATCCACACTTTCTTTTTGTAAGATATAGAGGAAAAAAAAAAGATTTAAAAAAAAAAGCAGAGTAAATGACATGAAACTGTGTGGTTTGACTGAAAAGCTATATATTCAACAAGAGGAACACAGCAGTAGTTCCACAGCCCTAACTCCAGAACTAAGTTCAAAAAAATACTGAAAGGCCTTCACAGATCTCTTCCTGTACTTCTTTCTGATCTGCTGTATAATTATGCAAGTAGACTCTTCTCATTCACCCAGGCATTTTAAGAATCCAGTTCAAAAACATTCAATCCCTAATGTGGGTAATTCTTTCTTCTTTTTTGAGTTTTCCTTTGGTTTATCTTTTCTAATCACTCCCTTTGCTTTTTCACTGCTATGTAAATTCAGATTAGCACTCAAGACAGCATTCTATATATTCTTCCACCATAGTTAAAAACAGAACATGTAAAATATACTTTCCATTGCTATATTTACAATTTATCTACATCTTTTCCATTTATTGACAACTTTTTTTTCTTACAATTTATCTACATTTCTGATTTTCTGTGCCAGGCCTCCAACTATTCTAATAGGTCTGAGTGAGGTTTGGGCAGAAAATGTTCCCTTACCGCCCAGAAAGCCTCAAGTTAATAGCTGAATGTTCTCTACTCCTGAAAAAGATTATCTGTGGAGTAGTGTCCTCACAGCAAACTGTGGCACATGAGTCTGAAATTACTTACCAAAAAAAGATACACTATTATATAATAAAAAATTTGGGGGTTTAATCCCTGTTAGATATAACAAAGCAAAAGGATTAACAAAACTTTTACACAGAGCTAGTCCAAGATAAAGAAATATTTAGTGTAGGAGCTGCCTGCTAAAGGAAATTTGAAGAGATAGCTAGTTACATAATCAATATAGTGACAAACCCCAGATGTATACTCCTTTATTAAAGCTCCATCACCAGAAGCACCCAACTACAATATTTTTGTAAACATGCAGATTTATACTTCACTACAAAATCTACTTTTACTTACAGAGAGTTTTCAGAAGGATATGCTTAGCGTTCACAAATTTTACACCATTTAGAGGCATTACTACTGCATGATGTACAAGTATCTGAAATATTCTTACTCAAAAGCCCAGTTAGCTCAATAGGGGGCCGGTTAGCTCAGTCAGTTGAGCGTGGCGCTAACACCACCAAGGTTTGTGGGCTCGATTCCCGTTCGGTCCCCATGTGTTGCCTGATCTAGTCAAGAGGTGGCGTCCCTGGCGGCAGGGAGGGTGGATTAAAATGATCTCTAAGGTCCCTTCCAGCCTAGGCCATTCTATGATTCTACGAAAAGCTATGAATTCCTTGCCAATATGAAAGCTGAGTTGACCTTAGAAATGCTGGTCTTACTCCACAGACAATGAATACAGATGAGCTCAAAGAAAGTTTCGAAGATGAAGCTTTATTTATGTGTTCAGAACTGACCATTAGAGAAGTCCATCCCTTTCTTCACTGTCAAGGCTTAAGAAAACAAGTTTATTACTAGTTTTCTGTTAGCCTTTGTGAATATTACCCCATTTGCATGGCTGCTTTTTCTTTGCACTTTGTCAACCACAACGGAAAAACTGGGAATTTAAGGACAATGCAATGACTAAAAAAGCAAGCCTACACAGAAACAGGAAATATGGAAGAGCTAAAAGTAAACTTAGGGAAAAAAAAAAAGTAAAGTAGAAAAAATGGAGTCACATAGGCATTCTAAAAAGCAAATTAAAACGGTCAGATTATTAAAACCAAACTAATAAAAATTTAAGGATGTGATTCAAATTGAAGTTTATCAAAACCTGGGCATAGCAAGTCAAGTCAGGAAAGGAATTTTTTTCTTTTCAATTTTTAATTCTGATGATGAGAAAGTCAAAATTGGTGTCAGCAAGAAATATGTCATTTTTATTGAATCTTCCTGAGCTTTACTCCAGCAACATACTCATTTAAGATTTCCTTTTGCAGGAATAAAAACTGAGCAAAAATCTCAGGTTGCAAAACATCCTCATTTTGTGCAACTATGGAACAATTTTTTGGACAATTATGTTGGTTTAGTGGTGGACTTGGCATTGCTGGGTAATTAGCTGGACTCGATGATCATAACGGTCTTCTCCAACCTAAATGATTCTATGATTCTATTACAACCAGTTAGTAATACATTTTCATTCAAGTCATCTAGTAAATCTAATAGATATACTAGATAAACGTTTTTCCTGGAGAACTCTTTTGCCAGCAATATATTTTTTTTTCCTTTGTGGCACTTGGCTCTTGATTCCTTTGGGCTAGAGGGTGGCTACAGCAGAGGGTGCACAGAACAGAGAAGCACAGACTGCTTTTGCTGGGAACCTCCATCAGAAGGGCTTTGATTCATTCTGAAAACCCTTAAACTAATATGTCTTTTAATGAAGCAGTTCTTCCCCTCTCATCCTCTCAGTGGAAGCAATTCTGGAGCAGTCATGACGATCTGTGAGGTATGTTACCTTCGGTAACAACAGTCCACAATATGCGAAAACAACGGTCTAAATTAAGATCTGTTTTTTTCAAAGGAAGCCTCAGGATAGTTTTTCCACAATATGCAAAAACAGTGGTCTCAGTTATGATCTGTTTTCTTCAATGGAAGCCTGAGGATAGGTTTTCGATTCATTTTAACTACAGAGACAATCTGAAGTATGTCTCTTATTGTAAAATTCATTCAGGAAAAAAAAAGTTACACATTTTTTAAGATACCTTAGCTTCAAACTAATTCAAATGCATAAATTTATCAATTAACTTGAAAATTATGAAAAAAAAAATCATAGAATGGCCTAAACTGGAAGGGACCTTAGAGACCATTTTAATCCAGCCTCCCTGCTGCTAGGGTCGCCACCTCTCGACTAGATCAGGCAACACATGGGGACCAAACGGGAATCGAACCCGCGACCTTAGCATTCTTAGCGCCACGCTCTACTGACTGAGCTAAATGGCAAAGTCTGTAAAAATGACTTTTTCAAAAACGATTAATTCCTGTTTTAAATGGAAAATGAGTCCAAAGACGCAACATAAGGTTGCAACCCAGCACTTCCACCGCAGATTTAGAACCTAACTTTGATGGTGCAATATATATTTGTAATGCTTACAAGACATAAAAAATTTAGCCTCTGCCTTCATCAAAGAAACCCCAGACTATTTTATATGGTTTCTCTACTTTCCAAGACCACTTCTGCCTCTCACAAGCGCACAGATTCTTCAAGTAAAACGCTCCTGGGTCGCTAAGGCTGGCAACTGGACTTACTATCTTTACTGAATGCTCTAACTGTACAGAGAGGCAATTGGGGAATGACAATAATATGATCTTACTCAATATCAAGCTTCCTGCAGGGTTTCACAGGGCTCAGGCCATTAAGAATAGCCACCCACAATCTACTCACAGAGCTACATTCTCTTCAGCAAGACAGTGGAACAGGACAGAAGCTGTATTCCCCAGCTATCATCAGCAGAGGTATAACCATATCCTCTCAGCTGTCCTTATTTTTCTATCATTCCAACATTTTCTTCCCTGCACACACAAACTCCCCAATAATATTACAACACTTCATTTACATGCATGTTTCTGTGCAGAAATACCTTTGTTGTATTCTCCTACGCTTCTTTTTCAGCAGGTGTTTTGCAGTCATTTCAATCTGCTTACGCTTCTCTGTTCAGTTTGATTTTCTGTTTTTATTCTGATCTTTATTCTTATACCTACATGCAGAAATACTCTGAACAGGCTGTTTTTGCAGCAGCACGCGTTTACTATTCTAAAACAATATCCCAAATAAAAACAAAAAAAATCAACTGCAATGAGAGGTTTTCTCCAATCAAAACATTCCATTAACAAAAGGTTTTATTAGGGATTTAACTGAAAAGAAAGAAAAAAACCTCAACCACATAAAGAATCCTGTATTTTTTTGGAAGACAAGTATCGCTTTAATACTCTTGGAACTGCCAGGTATTTTTAGAAACAAGCTAGCAAACTCCCAAAAGCGCTTGGGAGTTAACTTCTTTTTTAAACAAAACTGCACTACAAATATCAACCCAATCACAATCTAATTAATAGGATTAGAGATTCAAATCGCCAAGCTTCTACTGACATCCCAAACTAATCAAGTTTATTACAATTTTTCAATAATAATCCAGCTAACAAAGATAAACTCATTTATTAAAGCAATTTTTGAATACATTACACATCCCCTAAGGAAAATAGTAGTCTAAAAACTATGAAGAATAGCTACCAAGTAAAAAAAAATCCAGTCAAACCCAGCTTAGAGTACATGTGCAGTATATCAGCATTTTAAGGGCATTCTGTTTGCAACGGAACCAGTTATTTCATCTTTTCCTCTCATATAAGTCACCTTCTCATGTGTTGAACTTTCTGTAGTGTGGCAAACTTTCTATATCACTAAACTTTAGATCACAGAAGCATGTCAAGGAAAGGGGCAAAAAAACTGAAACCTATCTTTGTCAATCAAAAGGAAATGAACATACTGCAGATAAGATACAAGACTTAGCTGGTGGTCAATGAGGGCAGCAGACAAAAGAATTAGATCACTCTTTGATCCCTTGAATAAATAAGGAAACAAACAAAAGAAGAAGTATTTATTCAAAACCACATTGGTTGAAACCTCCTCAAATGCTGGAAGTCTGAGCATGGAAGTGCTGTGAAATGGATGATCTTTAAAACCGGTCCTTAAAAATAATTAGAAAGGGTATTAGAAAAGGAATTCAAGGAGCCTGCAAAGCTCTCTATGAAAAGATATCTCAGTGTGAATCTATCTTGAACGTGTTCACAGGAACAGCTCAGACCAGAAGAGGTTTTAATATATTCAGTTCCTTTCTGGCTCCATGAATCTAACGTTGCAGTAAACACCACAGTAGTGGTTAGATACACGGGCTTTTCCCACTCTCGATCTCCTCCAGTGGTCAAATGAGCTATATATATGCTCGCCAAGCTTAATGCTTTCTTTAAAATTGTCCCCTCTTCACTGAATGTGGTCAAAGATTAGCCAAGTAAAGATCTGTATATGGACACAAAATTGCTGCTACAGCCGTTCAGCTTTTTCCTTCTTTGTTTAAGCCATGCCTCTAACATAGGACTCTAATGTCTGCAAAAAGTAAGGAAATGAAACAAACAAGGTGAAAAAGTCCTCAAGAGGGCTGGAAATGAAAAAAAAAACTAAAACCTTCTTTTCAGTGGAACTCTCTGAAGAACATGAAGTGAGAGGAAAAGGGAACAAGAAATCATCTTTCAAACTTGATGTGAGTAGCCAGACCAGCTTCCTAATTTGCATATGGAAATGAGCTAGCCATTGCCTGTGCTTTTGCCTAGTCTGCAAAGAAGGCATTCTAAAAATCCTAAGTCAGAAAGGTGACAAATTATCCTTTGAAACTACTAGATAGGAGAAACTTCAGGGCTGGGGGTTAAGCTGTAGAACTGAAGCATGAATTCAGGTGACTGAACACCATACAATTTCCATAAACATGCATTTATCTACTAAAGATTGTGTTAGGATTCTGCTCAAGTTTTCATTGACATTCCACTTGGCTTTATTGTAGTTAAACACCTTAAAGATAAATGCCTAAAAAAATCTTTTAAAAAACAGTTGTTTCCAAGAAATAACTTTAGTTTAAAAATAAAAGCTGGATCCCATACTTCACCACTTTTTTCCTCAACAGTCTCTTATTAATGAATATCCTGCCCTGGAGAGGGCAGTCTGTGACCACACTCTGTACTCTAGTATCCTCATTAACTACCTTTTAGTTTTACCCAAGATATGCCTGAGATCCTAACAGTTTGCTTAGCCAGTATACAGTCTATGTCAAATGTAAATAAGTTAAGAAGGAAGCATATGGTGCCATGCTCAGCAGTTCAGCCTGACAACGTGTATCAAGTCCCACATTCTGCAACTCAGTGTTATTATTCAAGATACTATATTATTTGATGCTTTTTTTTATGCACAAGCCATATTTAAAAAATCAAAATGTAGTAATTCTATAGTATTTTAATAATTGATAATGTTTAAGTGTTGAAAGCTTTCTGTTAACAATCTAAAACTGTTCCTCTGGTACACTTCATTGATACTGAGTGAATTAATATAGATTATACAGTCACCTGAACAGTTTAGATTTCATTTCCAGAAATACAGAACCACTTTCTTTCCCAGATATTTCCTCCAATAGTATACATTTAAAATAATACTAATCATTCTAAATTCTAGTATACAAGATAGAACCAAACAATAAAATTACATGGAAACCTCCCTGTACCAGGCAAACTTTTAAAGATACTTCAAGGCATAATTCAATGACTAACTGGCAATCTGGGGGAAAGAAACCGTGTTCCTGTAATACGAACATTCCAAATGCTACATAATTATCTAGTTTGCTACATTCTACCACTCCTCAGATGCAGAATATTGAGGATGTGAACCACTGTTCTGAGCCAGTCCAGCAAGTCCTACAGGCAAGGGTCCTTCATAAGTGAAAGAAAAAACCTAGTAACACTAAGAGAATCGCCTTCTTAAGGAAAAATCCTTTAACAGCATAAAGCCTTGACTTCCTTCCTCAACAGATTGTAAGGAAAACAAAGTAACTACATTTGTATTTTAAGAGACTCTGCTTGCAGAACTTTCAAATTCATAATTTAATGGCTAACCTCACAGCTAAAATAATGTGTGACTATGGTACACTGAGATTAAATGCATAAGCTTTGTTTTTAAACACTGTCTGGATATATACTTACAGTAGCGCAAAAGAACGTCAATTCAGTAAAAGTAGCTGGATGCCTAACTCTAAATGTCTATGATAGTTGAAGTATTAGTCAAAAATGTCAGCAAGGGCCACAAGGAAAATAATAAAAACCAACTCATCCTTTGACCACAAATGAGGCGTGATGGGTTTGTGTCTGTTGGGATTTTTTTAATATTGGGGGGACTATGGGGGTGCCCCTGTGCAAAGTTCCCAGAGCCTCCTCCAGCCCCAGGTAAAAGCCAGACCCCAGTCAAGGCCAGGCCAAGCAGCACCTCTGCCACCAGTGTATTTAAGAGGGGAAACCTGTTGGACAACTGTTCCTTTGTGTTATGGAGTGCTGTGTTTTGGAAAGGAGGGAGAGATGAGAGGAGCAATCACGCGGTCACCAAGATCCATGAGGAGTACGGAGGGGAAGAAGGGCACTGGAGCAGAGATTTCCCTGAGGCCTGTGGTGAGATGGAAGGCTGAGGCCCTGAGGACCAAGGAGATTCATGGTGGTAGAAAGTCCAGGATGCAGCAGCCCGAGGAGGACCCCATACCGGAGCAGAGGATCACTCCTGAAGCACGCTGTGACTCCCAGGGAAGCTCACACTGGAGCAGTTTGTCACTGGGAGGACTGCAGCCCATGGGAGGGGCACACAGTGGCACAGTTTGGCAAGATCTGTGACCACGTGGGACGGACTCCTGTTGGAGAAGTTTGAGGAGGATGTTCTCCCCTGAGAAGGACCACATTGCAGCAGGGGAAGATGGTGAGAAGTCCTCCCCCCTGTGTCATCAGTGAGGAGGAGGAGGTAGCTGGGAAGAAAGGAGGGATGGGGGAAGGAGTTTTTAAGATCTGGTTGTATTTATTCTCTCACTATCCTACTCTGATCTAATTGACTGGGAAACTGGTGCTGCTTGTGTTTCTCAATTAAATGGATGTTTTCTCCCCAAATCTACTCTGGTTTTTGCCTGTGGCCATAAGCGGTGAGTGAACCCTCCCTGTCCTTAACCTTGAACCTCAAGCCCTGTGTTGAGCCTTCTATTCTCCATCCTGAAAACAAGGCGGGTAGGAGTGAGCGAGCAGCTGCACGATTCTTTGTTGCTGGCTGCGCGGGCTCAAATCAGGACCAGAGAACATATGCATGTCAGTAGTTTCAGTTAGACAGATTGAAGCCCCATTAGTGCAGGATTTGCAGATACAAAGGCTGAAAACTAAGATTTACCTTCTCACAGTCAGGCTTGTTTAAACAGTAACAGGTTCAACAACTCCCCATTTCCAGACATTATAACTAGTTCATCCTCCTATTTATATTTTAAGAGCCTCAGTTTCTCTTACCCAGCAACCCTAGTCCTTTTTTCTCATCCTCCTTCATTAAAAGCTTCCACTTCCTTCAGGCACTTGGCACACACAGTTCTCTCTTTGCTCTTAAGATGCTTGTCCTCAACCCTTCTTCCATTGAGAGCTTTTGTTACATCCCACTGCAGTCTTGTCAGAGCTTCAGCTCTGGGGTCCAAGGCAGAAATGTACACCTTCTTATAACGTCTTTGAGGTAACAATTTTACTTTTTTTTTCCATTTCTTTTGAATTTGGGAAGCTATAGATTTCCTAGCAAGTGCTGAGCTCCTCATCAGTCAGAGGCACTTCATTCATTTACTGTAATAAAGCATCTGTAATACAAGTTTCACGCTACCAGCAAACCACCTAATTAATATCTGTCCACCACAGAAAGCTCTCATCCTGTTGACAGCATGTTCTCACAGAGCTATATAGATATCATATGTGGAAAAGTAACATTTATCAAGTAACCTGAGAAAAGTATCTCATAGAATAGTTCCTGAGTACCCATTAGAAGCTTTGCAATCAAAACTATTGATCCTTTGGAATCTTTAAACACTTCGAGGGGACCGAACTCTAAAACTTGATAATGTAAATCTATATGGCTGAGAGGAATTCATGGCTGCTTATATATAATACCATCAGTTCTGACTGATAATTTCACCCATACTAGAATTATTAATAATGAGTGGCATCATCACTTTGGAAACCAATAGAGAGCCAGGGAGAGAGAAGTGGGTTGGTTTGGAGATCAGACCCAGCTCACTGTAGCATATGCTTCTCCTCATACTGCATACTGCTTAACTGACTTCAAAACTTAAAATTTAAGACATAACATGAAACTTTGACAATACTCTTGCCCTGCTAGAAAATGAGATTAATTTTTCCTCGAAACACAGTAAGTCTATTCAATATTTATATTTTTAGAGATGATGATTATTTCTTCATCACAAACAAAGAATAATCTCAAGAAAAGCTGAATTTTTGTAAACAATAGTATTAATATATAACATGCCATAACCTTCATGAAAATAAAGCGTGGTAAGACATTCTTTTTAAGATACTTTTGCACAGTAATGTGCAAAAGTAAAAAATTAACTGCTGTTTTTTCTCACAGTGTTGTTAATTTGACAATAATAAACAATTATATAGTAGATAACATAGAAGTTTCCCACATAAATCAAGTAGGGCCACATTTTAGAGAACCTGTCTCTTGTAAAATCTTCTGATGTGGTACAAAACTATATAGACAACTGTCTGTAACGTGGCAGTTTTTAACAACTATGGCATATCTAATTTCAAAAGTAGTGAATGGCTCACTAGTTACTTTTACAAAGACAATTTGAGAACCACTGACTTGTCTCCAGTAACCGCTATTCCCATTCTCTTACCTGTTATCAAGGCAGAGTGATAATATCCACAGGATACAGAGGAAACAGGTTTTCCAATATCCACTTGACAAGGGACATTGACACAGGCTTCACCAGCCAAGCCAATCTGACCTTCCGAATTGTCACCCCACACAAAAAGCTGCCCATCCTCTAAAATGAAGGCACAGGCAGTTAACAGATTTAAAACCAAACCTAATAAAAACTTGATCTACTCATTTAAGAGCACTTCATAAACTCTGTGCCTAATACTACTATGGGTCATTATCTCAGGGACATAAAATGGTATTTAGCACAATGAAACAAAACAGTCTGAAGTAAGAGGGTATCTCTTAAGCATTTCAAAAAAAAGACAGAACAGTTAATCAACTGATGTTAGACCATAAAGAGCAACAGAAAAAGTACCACGTAAAAATATTCCCTCACAAAGAGGAAGATTGAGTGTGAAAGAGAATTCAGTTGCCAGAGTATGAAAATATTACGATGAATTTAAGGCATTTTCTCATTTCTAGCAGTGAGTCACCACTTTCTCATTCTTCCAAACTTATTCTCTGTTCTGACTATTGCCTTATCTTTCAGTTCTCTTCACAGGTGATTGTATTACCCAGCTTCATTTTTATTTCCTTCAACTATCACAATAGCTGTTCCAAGTTTACCAAGAGCAGCCTCTGTTGACACAAAGACCAACGGCAGCAACAAAAACCAGAAAAAAAATGTAGTGAACAACATGAAAAATCTCTCGAGTTTTTTCTAGTAGAGATGAGGTCTTCTCTCTTATTTCTGGGAAGTAAGTTGTGAATAAAAAAACATACCATCCACAGTGCTACTGAGATGCTGTTGGGAACTAAAATAATTCTAAGTTGGCTTACAAATCTCAGAAGAATGTTAGCAGCTGTCACAAAAATATACAAACCAAACTAGCAGGCTAGCATCTCTCTCACACAAGTTCACGCTTTCTGTCACTTTCTGAAATGATGGTCTCAGTAACTTATCCTAAACAAGTACAGAAAAAGCTATTCTACAGAAAAACTTGAGAAATTACATATAGAGTAATAAAGACCAGCCATCCAACATCTGGAAGTACTATAACTGTGCAGACTTCAACATGTCACAGTTGTGTAATTTTGCCACCAGAGAAAGAGGTAATAGATTAGGCCTCTCCCAGAATTTTAGCAATGACACTGCTGTGTAGCCCGTACCAGTAGACCAAAATAGTTGCAGTAAGAAGTAGAATTAGAGAAACTTAATTTTTATAAGATCCATGTTTTGTTGCTGGCTTTCCTGGAAATAACCTAAAGATTTTTCCCATTTTCATGCTGTCTTTCCTTTGTAAGGATTCCTGCTAAACTAGGACAGCCTGAGCTCCCATTGTAGGCCGTTGCTCACGGAAAAGGTCTACTTTCACAAAAATTGCAGTAAGTTAATGAGACTTACCAGGTGGTGTTGAAATAGGCAATTGGCTATCAAAAAATCACTATGGTTACAAGGGAAAGAAGACAGGGAGGCACAGAAGATACACCCACATATACAGACAGAATGCTGGAATAAATGTTTCCCGGGAACACAAGGCTGGACACAAATAAATAGATTTTATTAGTGGTGGCTCTTACCAGTTACTGCTGCTGAGGTGTATGATCCAGCTGCTAGCTGTTTGATCTTGTGCTGGTTGGTAAAAAAACTGATCACATGAAATGTGGTCCTTTCTTCTGTGTCACCTAATCCCAACTGACCTTCACTGTTACCTCCAGCAGCATACACATTTCCTTTTTCTGCACACAAAAAAGCACATGTCATACTCAGAATGAAGACATTCGCATCAGTGGTAAAAAGTCAGAGGAACTGAAGCAAGTCGTTTATTTTTTCATGGAAAAACACTGCAGAAAAGTTGGGGTCTACCACCACGAAATATCCTCAAAGTGACATCAGCAGTTTCCGTTGTAGCTAGCAGGGAGGCTTTCCCACGCACACTCGGATCAGAACTTTCTAAAGGCTTTGCATGTACTGAGACTGGCTGCATTTCCCTGCATTCTAGACACCAATCTAAAAGTAAATACAATTTGAAGTTGCGTAAGAGTTCTGAGAAAATGACTTATTAGGAGCCTTGGTGGTCAGAATTAAGTTCCTTCCCCAAATAATGTGTATTTTAAGATAAAACACAAAGAAAATGGTGAATGATGTCACAGGCAAGAAAAGCAAAGTCATATTAGTGCACAAATTACAGAGACAAATCGCTTATTAGTTTTGAGTACTGTGAATGAAATATATTTTTCCTTCGGTTTTTATTAGAAATATTTTACTCATTTTAATATTTAAATCACTTACAATTTAGTTAACTCCATCTTTACTTTGTTTTAGAATCTCTAAAATTAAAGTTGATGATTGATATCTTCAACTTAAAGAACTTTAAGGTTTATTATTTTTAATTTTAATATGTTTCACATCTAAAGTGCTCATCTGTGATGAAAAAGATAAGGGCCATTAATAACACAAATCCAGGCACAAATGTGATAAGCAACTGACATACGTTTTATGAATGATCCTTGCTATATAAATGGCCACAAATTAGCTGGCTAGTGTGTACACTAAAAATAACTAATATTTACCCTGTGCAAGTCTTGCATACTCAGCTGTTATTAAAATTGTTCTGGTTTATTCTAATAGTCTTATTTACAGTGCTCAGGGTCTTCGCATATACAAACCTCTTAACAATCAGACAAACTTCTTTATAACATTACTGCAAGCTGAAGGATTGTAATCACAAAGACGGCTATTCTATCACATAAATTCTAGAAGCATGGCAAGAATTTGCAGCAATTCTCTTCTCTGTATGCTGTCTCTCTAAAAATTTATTTTTTAGTTTAAATTTACAGTTTATTTATTTATAGCTTAATATAGCAACTTGTCATTGAAGTAGCAGACTACCTTGTCTAGCCAAAACGCAACAAAATTTGAAGACTGGAAAAAATTCAGGTCTACTACATTCACTCAAATACATAACTTCACACTAATTAATTATTTGTGAAAAGTAAGTTTGAGTACAGATATATAAAGAATACTAACATAGCTTTACAGGGCTTAAATTAAATATTGATATTTGTTAACTACACCTCAAATGAAAGCAAATTTTTTTTCACTTGTCTATTGCTAGCAAACTCCCATATAACATTATTTTATAAACGCATTGGCTTAGAATAAATCAAGAATTCAAAGAACTGGATATCAAAACCACAATTTTTAACAGTCCCATTTTTGTTTATTTTTCCTTCCTCAACACTCATGGGGTTCGTTATATAATTTTGCATGAAAGCAAAGGAAGAAATCTATCTTTAATATGTATATAATATAGGTTACATACCTGTGTAAACTAAGGTGTGGTTTCTTCCACAAACAGCAAGTTTTGTTTTTTCTGGTTTTAAAGCTATGAATTAAAGCCAAAGGTGGGGAAAAGTTATAAAAAAGCTGATAGTCAGTTCAACAACAAACTGTTCTGTGCTCTAGAGGGAGCTCTGATTTTCCCAACAGAATGATTACAAGATTCATTGCCCATTTGAACCTAGCATATGACTTATTAAACCAGGATTCACCCAAGACAAGAATGTAGACATAGACCTTAAAAACTTCTACTGACACTCAGGTTAACTTGATGATGGCTACTTCATCCCAGTCCCACATTCCTCAGAATTAACATTTATGGGATACACCTCCAAGAACACGCGAAGTTGCAGGACATAATGTATGCTTAAAGTCATCTTCAGTTTTCATTAACAGTACTACTCTTAACTCCCTCTTCTGATTTTCTCACTACTTTAAATCTTTAAAATTCTACCGTTCTTTTTCCTTATCATCCCTATCTTCCTTCATTATGCACAGTTACTTTTTTTGCTAGACTTTCGCTCTGCACTGCCCTCATCTTGATCACCAAACTCAGTTGCTAAAGACAGTCCTATCTGGACTGACGCTTGAAATTTTTGCATATACCATCCTGTCTCAGTTTCAGCTCAATTATCACCCAACCACTATTTGTACTTCTCTGCAGTCTGGTCACTGCAAAAGACGGGGAATGTATGCAAGAGGAGTCAAGAGTTATTCTGCTGGAAAGAGAGAATACAGAAGTGCCTTTTCTGCCATGGCAAGGGCAATCCATTTCATAAAAAGAGGAAAAAAATCTCACCGACTTTTCCATCCTCTCTCCAATTATTGATCACAGCCAACAGTTTATCTCCTCTCAGCCATGTCCATGTGCCCTATACAATGCTCTTAAAACAGTATGATTTTTACATATCTTAATTGCTTTTCCACTGCCCATGACAAAGCCAACAACCATAATCCCCTTCACAAATCATTTTTCAGTCCTTCCAAATCAACCTTCATCAGCTCCATAATATTCAGATTAAAGTCCCTTCTAAATTCTACCAAGTCACCAAACAATTCTATCAACTTAAGCATCAACTGTCTCTGGTCTATCACGTAAACACAAACACAAATTGCCCAAATTCAGGTACCTATCGCTACCACCAGGCTGGAACCATAACACTTACAATGTTGGCTTCTTGCTACAATCTTACTTTGCTGCTTTATACCTCCAACTTTGAAGATGAGCTTAATCAGCTCTTCAGAAGCATGTGCTCCCTAACCTCCCTTCCACTTAGGCTAATCAATTGTATTTGATGAGCGATGCCATATTTACAACATTGCTGGCAATTTTTCATAACCAATTTCATTAGTGTCTAGTCAAGGCCCAGAAGATATTTTCTCAGAAAGCATGCAGCCACAACTACGTGGCCCCAAGGAGAAACTGAAACGTGTCCTTGCAAACCCATTCCTGAAGCCAACTGGTGACTGAAAGGTAGTGAGAAAAGCTCCAGGATTTGCTCCTGCTATCTACTACTAAGAGAAGAAAGACAGTCTCCTTGTGACTTTTTTCAGTGGATATCAGGTCTAGTTTGAATTGCTGTCACCCTCTCATAATCTTTTATTCTCCGTAGCAATTTGACAGTAAAAACAAAAGTTGACAGCCAATCTATTTAAGCCAAGGTAAAAATCAATCTCGCACATGGCTGAGAGAAGGTGTGAACCTGAGAGTTGCTGCATTCTCCCTCTGCATTTGGAGAGGGGAGCAGATAAAGGACAGTAGACTAAACGAAATCAGGAAGAAAAAGAGTTTGAACAAGCAAGATAATTTAACAGTAAGTTAACAGATCGATCTGCTGGCAGAAAGGATGAGGATAAACATTTAATTGTGAAAAGAAATGTGTTAATGGGATAGATATGACATAAGTAGAGGGCATAGGGAAAAAGTATTGACCTAGTTTTGTTTGACAAGATAAAACTGGCTAGGAAAGATCAAGATAACAGTGCGATGAAAACATATTTTACAACACATGAAAGAATATGGGAATTTATTTTACTGCTTCATACAAATATATTAATATTTATGCCTCCTCAGACACTTCTTATAATTGCTAAAATTGTAGAATTACTTGTAAAAACTTTCTGATAGATTTTTTTTCATTTGTAAGGGTGCTAAGGCAAAAGTGATACACAGATACACTGCCGTTGGAACTCCTGATTTCTAATGCACAGACACCACTGCAGAAACCAAGCATCTGATTAATGTCTTTGCACTCACAATGAAAATGTGATTTGTCAGAAAAGGCAAATATTACATAAAATGGGAGCCCTCAAAAAAGACAGGATTCCATGTATCTTAGCTAATTTTCAGACTTAATGCCCCACAACCTGGAACTGATGGAAAATCAGTCGGGGATCCTTTTAAGCTACCTTTATGAGTTTCTGTAGTAGCATGCTACAGATGAATAAAGAAGGCAGAATCAGTTATTTTGGAACTCCATCTTATAAAGTACATTTTCAAAAAGAAGACAAAAAATAAAAGAAAAAATAAACAAACCTTTAACACATGTTGGTTTGGTCACAGTGTTCTTTGATCCTAATCCTAACTGGCCCCAGTTGTTACTGCCAAACATGTACAGCTTACCATTCCCTGGAAAAGAACGCACAGTCAGAATCCATACAAGTGTCTGAATACCTCATTCAAGACAAGATTGTCATTCACACACTATGCTATTTATTGCTTCCTTTTTAACGCAAGGTTTAAGATTAGGCAATTCAATATTTAAGTGTAAACAATAATTAATGTCCTTGTGATTTTTCAGTACAAACCTAGTAACTGCATTGTTTAAGTGAGAAATTCACAGACAGAAGGGACAAAAAGCAGAATGAACATCCTCTCCTTTAATTACACCACAGATAAAGTGCTCTTCAGAAAATAAAATGTACTCTTGGACAGACCCTGCAGTTCAGAAACCACAGTATCTGTAGGCCTGCTTATAAAATAACAGCACATTTAACTAAGCACCCAATCTGCTACCCCAAAGACATGAATGAATAATGCAGTCATATAATTAATACAAACACAAATTTATAGTATTCATCTTATTTTACTGTTTGGGGGGGCTATTTCTTTTACTGCTCAATGTCTTCTCTTAAAATGATTTACAAATTTGAACTTCTGCAGAACGTGGTTTCTGATGAATTTTTAAATGTATTCACAAATTGTATTAATTTGCATATAAACAAGGAATGCATAAAACCACTATGCAGACACGGAGTTTTGTAAACGTAAATGCAAACATTAGATTACAAGTCTTCAACAGAGGCAATGCTAGAATCGTATTTCAGAAAGTGAAATAATGTGTCATTGAACTCGGCAGGTTTGGCCATGACTGTTAATGAAATGTTGTAATTCCAAATAACCAGTGGTTTTTTAAGAGGATGGTATATGAACAGATGGAACTTTTGTCATCAGGCATGCAAGTTAGACAGCCAAAACTGGCTACTGACAATATCTTAAAACAAAACAATCTCACTTAATTGCATTCTTTAAAGTATTAACTTTTGTCAAGCTGTGAAGTTCACGCCCAGGATCTGTCCTGACAGAAATCTTTGCAAAATAATAGAAATTGATTTGTATTTGTAAAACAAAAAACAATTTTGCAACTGTTAAAAGGAGTTTGTTTACATTTGATGAAGATCTGCAGAGCTCTGTGAGTTAGACTCCACCATAAAGCTGTCACATAAATAAACTTTGTCACCCTGGTCATCAACAATTATCACATGATCGCAAGGCATAACAGCAATTCCACATCCTAATGCCAAAATACTATGGCTGTTTGTACTTCAGTAGTGTAGGTTCACAGTGAAGGGTTCGAAATGTGATTTACAGAGACTTTGAAATACGGTATCGAAATGTTTAAAATGCTCTGTTAAAAAATCTTAAATATAACCACAGTTTAAAAAAAAAAAACAAAAAAAAACCCCTAACAATAACTAGTATCTAAAGCCCAAATTAAATTGTTAGACTTGAGTATTTTTGAAACATGGGGCTATATGTTGATATGAGGTCTTTCCAAGAAATTTAGAAGGGAACAAAGTCTGAGGTCAAGCCTATGCTCATGGTGTTTGACTAATAGCATTTATATCATCATCTCTATTTTGATAATGCAATCACATTAACACACATGCAGAGTTGACTCTCACTGAGAGGAAAACATTCCTTAACAGAAAGAGTTTTCATTACCAAATGGCATCCTATATCAGTATATGCTTCCTTACATCCTTAGTTTATACTTTTTAACTGCCTCTATAAGACGGTAGTAGTCCTGTGGGAATATGATACCACACTGCCATAACTCAATTTAAGCACATTCTCTCTCATCCGTTCAAAATTCTAACAGGTCACGCTTTTCATCTTATAATCACTGTTTCTTATAACAGTCTTCAAATTCTCAGGCACTACTTTGTAAGTCAAGGAGCTGAACAGATAAGAGGAATTTTTTTTTTACCATTTTTTACAATTGGGTGACAGCCTTTTATGATTTCAGACTTCCACCACTTGCAGTGTAACAGAAAAGAAGACAACTGGGAAGCAGTATAGAGAGTGAATGAAAATTAATAGGCACTGTGGAGTAACCTGAACAAACACCTGTAACGAAGTAACATTTCAGGGTCTGTACAGCAAATCAGGGTTTGGAACAGACACAACAAAGTATAAGCTGGTGAGGAAACACAACATAATTTTGTATGCAAAAGGTCCTATTTTCATAATTGCATATTGGTACCTTCAGTCATCACCATAGATGCACTGAAGGGAGAACAGCAGACAAATAGGCAAGGATCGTATTTCAGAACTCTGCAAACTCAGATTGCTTTTGCTTTTTGCTTCCATGCTGGTCCTGACATACGGAGATTGTGATCACCTGGAATGGCTCGCAGAACACAGGTCCAGCAGAGCAAGATTATGACTCTGGGTAGGAACAGGGAAACAACAGCATAGAAAAAGGGCTACTCAGATTGTTCTGATGATGCAAACATACTTCCAACACCAGCCTCTGCCTTCATCCTGATGCAAGGCTGGAGTATTTCTCCAAAGTACGCGTGCATTGGCTTACCACCAGCAGATGTTTCACCAACATTAATTCGGGGCTATTAGGGAAGCGACAAGATGCTTACATCTTGAGGAACAGTGGTTCAGTGAGAGACTTCAGGAAGAGAGAGTCTCCTAACCAGTATGCTTCTCCTAAGAGTAGCTGCTACCACAACCACGGTGATTCCTGGGATCTCCATCGGTCACTTTTTCCCCTCAGTTTGTGAAGCACACCAGGCATTCATTCAGCAGCTGTGAAATACCAGTCGAAATCCTCAACATGCTCCATGATAACAGCAGGCAGCCAAGTATTCCTATCACCTAAGTTTAAAGGCGTGTTTTACATATTCTCTCCCTTGCCTTCTAAATTCTATTAGCACAGGCAAGAAATAAAATTGAGAGACAACGTACAGACTTTGAGCATTTATTAAAAGATTCTATTGAGAAGCTATATCTGAAGAAAATGTAACAGATTTGGACAGAGTATTATATGTCATGCACCATGATTTTTTTATTTGTGCTATTTTGTGAATAAACTATGTTAACAGTTCATTTAAAATCCACATACAATTCAAATACACTTCACAGAAATGGGAACGACCTCAGTTTTGTTAGGCATGTCACAATATGCTCAGTATAAAAGCTTTATTGAGCAACAAGAACAGCCACACTTAGGACATTTAGCATCACACAAACAAAACCAGCACAGTGCCGCTTGCTGCTGCACATATCAAAGATCAATGCAAACACATACTAATCTTTCTCACTCTCCCTTTGCACTTTATGCAAAAGATATCATGCCACGTTCTGATGGCCTGCTGGTAGGCAGAATGAACAGAAGCAATCTGGGGTTCAAAGACCTGGAGGGATTCCAAGGTCTCCTTGGTGTAAATTGCTGAAAATTTAACACCTTACGAAACTGGAAATTATGAGCGCAGCAACTTGCTGTCATTCCATATGTATCTCTTTTTACTCCTACTTTTACACCTGATACTTCTTTCTTTCCTGCTACCTTCTTGCACTGGGGGATGCAGTTGTCTCCAGAGCTCTGTTCAGAAAGTGCGTCTTCCATCATCACCTTTTTCCCCCTTGTGAACAGGATCAGTCTCTTTGATCAAATGTAGGCAAACTGCCTAGGATATTCTAATCAAGGCAAATAAACAATAAGACAGCTGTTAACTTTAAGAGTTTTGTAGAAAAGAAAATGAATAGAAAGTTAAAAATATGTGTAACATCACTTCACAATGGCTTCCAACAGGCTGATAAAATTGCTTTCCAAAGTCTGCAGTTACAGAAGGCTCAGGGAGTGAACCATCAGTATTCTTGGGCCAAAAGATACAGAGATTGGGCAAGAAACACTACTAAAGTATTACAAGTGATGCTGGAAGATATACTGCTCATGCACGCATTAAAGAACTAAAGAAGACAACTGTTTAAAAAAAGTCCTGCTTGAACATTTTAACAAAGGTTGTGCTAAAGGTAGAGAGCAACGAATAAAGAAACACAAATTTAAATCCCAAACTCGAAAACTGGAGAAGGAAATGTTTCTTCGACTAGCTCAGCAAGCAACTTTAAGTTGTCCTTTCTACTTCAACACATATGTAAATAAAATTTTGGACCCTAACTCCTAACCTATAAAGTCAAAGAACAATTTACTTTAAACTTTTCTTCACAGAAGTCACATGGGAATATTGATGCTGGATTAGATGAAAGAAGTATTTGAAAATTTCTGAATATTTTGTTTGAGTGCTAAGTATTAGCTCCTGTACATTTTCTTCACTTGCATTCAGTCAAGATTCTGTGCTAATGTAGCTGTCTCTCCTGCGCAAAACCAGTTCTAAGGAACGTTCTGAATCTGTTTGGGTGATTCTTTTACTTATGATTGTTGAGACATGTTAGTGTAAAATTGACATATTTCAACTTTCATATTTTCAGTTAGATTTGAATCTAATTTGTGACCTGTAAATAACGACTGAAAATAAAACAAAGCATGCATTAACACACACCTGACTGAGATCCTTCCTCAGTGATGTTTGTCTTTTATCTCTTCCAGGTCTCAACCCAGCTGGATTTCAAGAAGCTCCTGGTTTCTCACAAGGTCTGTACCCTTCTCAGTAAGCTCATTACTGGCATGCACTTCTGGAGCTTTTATTCCAGGTGTTACCGCTGTTCAATGCCATTCACCAAGGGCTGTAATTCCAACTCCATCTAACAGCAGAAATGCGAGGTGCACATGGGCACGCACAAGTGTGAAGAGCAAATGATGGACAAAGGTTTTCTGTTTCCCTTCTTCTCTTGTTTTGTATGACTCTTGCAGTTTTTCTACCTCTGCTCACCGTTCATCAGTATTTTACCTTCACTTTTGCCTCTACTTTGCAACGTCCCATGTACGCATGCTTCTACAGTTCCTTCTCCTCAAGAGCTTTGAGAAAATAAAGATCTGATGATCTAGGAGTTTCCCTGGTGATGTGTCTGCACACTACAACAGCAAAGGCCAGCTATGGAGACAATTTTGAAATATGCTGCATATATCAAAATAACAGGGAGAAGGGGATAGTAGAGAAACAGTGCTGCATGCAAAGCTGTGCGAGCTGACCTTCAAAAGTGGCCACTGTTACAGTGACATGGGAGTTCGGGTATTACTGCTGATTAGGGTAACAGTGCTGGCACTGGCACGTGCTGGGGCAACGCAAGGAGGTAACTTAAATTTCTAGTCTAAACTGAGAATTACACTAGTGTTATTTCAATCTGGCTATGGGCATACAAAAGGATAAATAAATATATAAGTAAAAATCCAAAGGAAGATTACACAGTGCCCCAGGTTACATTCTGATTAATGTTAGGCAAGAAGCAATTTAAGAGAACTGGTTCAATCCAAGAAGTGACAAGTTTTGTGCAAAACAAACTATTCATGGATAATTCATCTTCTAAGAACTTAGGTTTGAAAAAATAATTGTATAATTTCACCTCAAGTTGTTCTACAGTCCATGAAATCTATACTCTTCTTTTAATCATGCTTGGAATAGTTCATTCTAAAAATCCAGCATCTTCAATTTTGCTTGAGGACACAGCAAGAAACCCTCAAGAAATTATTTAATGAGCAATGACCAATTGGGCATTGACGTGGAACAAATACATTGCAATAAAAAAGTCCTGAAAATATTCATATAAATTTCATAACAACAAAGTCTTCTTATCTATCAGCAGTTGATTGTCAATACAATTGATGCCTGCTCATCAACAAGCGCAGTCCCTTCCACGTGAAATAACACTGAACAAATTTTTCAATGAATATTGTTTCCATCATTTCAAATAAATGAAAATAAACATTAACAGCATCTGAGCTTCCTTGAATACTTTTGCAATTTATTTCTGATTTTAGGAAAGTAGGATTTTCTGAAGTTTTTTTAATTGCTCTTTAAGGAGTTATTTAAGGGGTTATTTTCAGCTGACAACAATAATTCACATCTTCATTTCAACTGTTTCAGGCAGATGCTTAGTGAACTTTTTGACTGCGTTCAACAGATACTGTTTACTTCCAAGATACAGACCTCTACCTTTAAGATTGCCTGCTAAATACTGTCAGATTCACAAGGAACATTCAAGTTGAAGCAAGTCACGCTTAATTTAAAGCCTGTGTGATATAAACATTATTACAGATTCCTTCATGTCAGCTCTTAGGCACGTCTTGTTAAAACCTCCAGTGACCTTACACTAACTTCAAAGGCACCCAATAATTCTGACAGAACAGTCCTCTCTCCCTTCCACAACCTCATTTGATATTTTACCTGAGGATTCAAATAAGACTCATAACTTCCCAGGCTGACCGTATATATAATATTTTATCATACATTCAGTTTCCAATACTGACCTGTAACAATAGCAGTATGTTCATCTCCACATGATATAAGTACAGGCTTGTCATTTTTGAACCAGAACTTGCTAGGAATATCTTCTGCAAATCTGGTTTTGCCAAATGTGAAAACAGCACCTGATTCTAAAACACAAAATGATAACATCAATTTCAGTGAAAACAAATTTTGCCTCACACATTTTTAAACAGTCATTTCTTATTCATTCAATTGCACATTTAGTTTCTTGTCTTCTTTTTTTAAAAAAAAGGCTGAAGCACTTTCTACTATCCTGTTTCAGCAAGACTACTTCATTTTCAGGCTCACATTTCAGTCCTTCTGATTCTTCTTAAACTCCACGAATAACCAGATTAAATAGATATTGTTGCTGGTGTACTGTGTTCTGAGGATACAATAACTTAAAGCACACTAATGCACTTTAGCAATACTCTTTCTTCTAAGAAAAACTACTAGGTGTGTAAAACAAAGAATAAAGAGCTCTGAATAAATGTCCTCGGAAAGTAAAATAAAAAGTTCACCCTGAAAGCAGCTCGAGACAAAGAGTTCTCACTTACGTTTATACTTGAATGCAAACAGGTTTTCCAAATTGGATTAGAGAGAGATACACACTGTAAAGAGGTGACAGGCTCCAAACTGACCACTCTTCCTCACCCATCTGAAAAGATACACGTGCTCTAAAAATAGTCCCCTAAAATCAAAGCTCTCAGCCTTCAAAACATGAGTTGGCACAACTGTCTCTGATCATAAAACCATGATCTAAAAATCTCAATCAAAATCACCCAGAAATAAAGCTCAGTCAGCTCTCTTGCCCTTGTAATCTGCCTAGTTTTCTCCATTCTTCCCACTTCCAAAAGCATCAGCAATGTTGTTTTAAAACAAAAAATGTCAACTACTCATTTGCCTTTTGGTTAAGCACACGGCTTGACACACAAAATATTAATTCTACAAGAAAATACATGAACTTACAAGTTAAAGAATTCAGCAAAGCACAAGTAGACCTTCTATTTTAAAATTCCATACTTGGCTCTTTAAGCATAGAATCATTTTTTGGAGAAGAAAAAACCCAAACATTTCCTTGCAGGCTTTTTGTTGACATTTAAGCCATGATAATACAAATAAAGCAACAGAAAGACTGCTTCTGTAAGACTATATGTACTTTACAGACTGCTTCTGTAAGACTATATATACTTTCATAGTAACACTGAAACATCTTCATGAATTTACTTTCAATGAAAGGAATCTCATCAATACGCTGCACCTCAGCTCCGAAACTGAAAGTTCTCTCTTAAACTGTAAATTTTATATTCATTTTATTCTTTAATGTAAAAGTTTCTCATACTTGCAAATAACATGTTTTACACATCAAGTCCAGAACACATGTATAAAATTGTATTTACCGCCTCTTTAGTGTGTTCCACTGTTCTACTAAACACAAGCCTTGTGCAGGCAAATTCAACCTTTTTAAAGGGTTGAGTTTTTCCTCTTTTTACGTAGACACAGCTACACCCACAGACCTGCGAAAAGGCACCTGGAAACTCTACGTTGTTTCAGGGTTTAATCTCCAGCCAGAGAGCCTTGCTGCAGAGTTGAACCTGCTTACTCTTGCCCAAGTGGAGAGCTCTGGTTCATTTCTTCTAGTTTCAGAAACATTAACATGAATATATATATATATTCTTAATTCAATGTATACAGACAGCGGGCAATTTGAGATACAAGCGTCCTTCGTATCTCCTTCATTTCACAACTGAACTCAGACGTCAGTTTGGAAATTAAATCCTACTAATTGATAAAATTAAATCCCAAAGTGCATAAATGAGGGGTTTGCTGTCTGGGCAGCGAGCAAATGTTTAAGAATTACCGTAGGTCGAACGACGGGCTAAAACTCATTCATCAGCTAAAAAAAACCCAAGCGAACCCATTAAAAAAAAAAACCAAAAAACACACACACAAAAAAAGGAAAAAAAAAAGGAAAAAATAAAAGGAAGAACCAACCCACAGCACCCGAGGGCCCCC